CACACACACACACACACACACACACACACACACACACACACACAGCCTACAGCTTCTTGAGCCAAACAGACATACTTTAATGGAGCCAGAAAGAGAGGAGTGGGCAAAGGACTCCAGGTGGTACTGAGTGTAGTACCGAGAACATCCTGAATACAGGCAAGTGCACCGATCCTGAGCTCCACCTCCAGCCCACAAAAACTACAATTTTGAGCTGAGAGCTTGAGGAGAATAAGCCTGCTCTGTCTTAGCAATAAGGTTGTCCTAGCTAGAGGGCCAGGATGCCAAACCGCCTAGACCTGCAAACCTGGAGACCAAATTTACCCTGGATCCAAACCCAACTTCCTCTACATCCCCTTCCTTGCCCTCCCCGCCTTGAGGGTCTTTTTTCCTTCAGACACACATTTCAACCTCCTCTCAGCAGGGCCTCCCTGGAAACTAACCCCCGCCCCCCCCCCCGCCCATCTATCCTGGGGTGTTGGGTGGGGCGAGGGGGTTGTTATAGGTTCTTAAAGTTTCGGAGGAGACTGGATAGGCGGAGGCGGGGCAGCGGCGGCCCAGCATATAAAGGGCGGAGACGCAGCCTTCAGCTCCAGCCACCCCACCATGCGCGCCCCTCACCTGCCCTTCCTCCTCCTGCGTGCTTGGTGGTTCCTGCTACTGGCCCGAGCCACCACGGTGGCCGCCGTGCCTTTACGGTCTCGGGGACAGCCTTCGTCGCCGTCCCCTCTCGCGTACATGCTGAGCCTCTATAGCGACCCGCTGCCCGGGGCAGACATCATCCGCAGCCTGCAGGCGCAAGGTGAGCTGTGCGCCCCGCTGGTACCTAGGGATCCCCTCAGGCCACCACTTGCCTCGGCACCCTGCCAGTGCGCGGAGAGCTGTGGCTGGGGGCTGGGGTCGCCGCGCTCCTGGGGGTACCTGGTCCAGGACTCCATGGGCACAGCCAGTGTCTATGTTTACGCGCCGGCAGCCTTGGGGCGCAGGGCTGGTGGCCAAGTAGGAGGGGACTTGGGCATCCAGGTTATGTCTCTAACTGAAACCATTGACTCCCAGATCCTGATTTGGGGTGCTTAGAGCGCAGTACTGTTGGGAGTGGGGATGGGAGAGTCTGATCGTATTGCTTCTCATCTCTGCGGTCCCGGCGTCACGCACCTGGGCGCTCTCGTTTGCACAGGAGACAGTGGAGAGGATTGATGCTGAACGCACAGGAAAACGCTCAACCCCACGAGCCGGCTTAGAATAATAGAAGGCCATTATTGCTGTGATTTGGTTAAATATCCTTTTTCATTTTGCCGAGTGAGGGGGACTGGGTCCCCCGAGTCTGGAGTAGTTAGGAGAGTCTCTGGAGGAGGCATCAGGGATTAAGGTCTCAGATCACAGATTAGGGATGGGGTGTCCCGAGGTCACTTGAGACCACCTTGGGTCCTCGAGCCTGGGCTGGGGTGCTGTCAAGTGTCCCTGGTGACTCTGTGTTAGGAGCCTTGTTTGAGACAGGGACTGTGTGCTCGGGACCGCACTGACCCCAGGGTATCTGCGGGACGAGCAAAGTCGCCGCGCGTTCTGGGCACCTGCAGCGGTGTGTGGAGGGTGGACGTCAAAGGGAAGGGGCGTTGGCGTGGGACCCCCTTCCCTGGTGCAAACTCACCGCCCGTCACCTGAGCCTCTCTGCGGCCAAGCACTTCCCTCGGCCGGCGGGGGCCAGACGGCCCAGCCCGGGACTGGGGCGCAATCCACATCCGCCAATCTGATCTGTGCGCCGCCCGCCCGCCCTCTTGGCCTGGGGGCGGGGCTCCAAGCTCCCCTGCCCGCGGAGTCTGGGGTGAGATGGCCAGTGACCCTCTCCGGAAGGGTCATCGGGGGACCAGCCAGACGAGGGACACCCCGGAGGGCGAAGCGATAGGAAATTAGTTGGACCGCTGGTCGACCGGAACGCACCGTGGTGGGAGGTGGGAAAGGAGGGTGGGCTCATCATTCCCGTTCAGTTTTTTATGGAAAGTTCTTGAATGGTTTGTTTTTATATTTTCTTCCTTTTTATCATTTTTAAGAAATTGTTGTTATAAAAGTGATGTACAGAGGGGTCACAGTTACTACATAAGTCAGGTAAAGAATGCATTGCTTTTTGGACAATGTCTTCTCTGTGGGTACGGGAGAGACTGTGGCACCACGGGCTCACTGGTCTGGTAGACAACTGCTGTCTTTTGGGTTAGATGAGTGTGCAAACATGCACGACAAAGCTTACTACCATTTCAACATTTTTTTTGTAGGTAATGGGGCTGAACCCAGGGCAGTTGAGCCAAGTCCCCCAGCATTGTGGGTTTTGTTTTGCATTTTGTTTCTGCAGCCAGGTCTCTAATGAGACCTTTACTCTAGTTTCTCCTCCTGCCTCCCTCTCTTGAGTAGCTGGGCATGTGCCAACACACTCAGCTCATTTAAACAAGTTTTAAGTTGTGATTCTTATACCGGATTGCTTCCTTTTCTAAGAGCAGCCAGAACAGCCAGCCTAGAGAAGGGATGTCCCAAGCTGTCTTCGTTCCTTCGGAGGCTGCACCTCCACAACATAAAGAGCCAGTTGGGGGCGCCTGAGCAAATTGGGTTTGCCTATGTGTGCATCACTGTCTACCCTTCTTCACCCTGGCCCTTCCGTTTCCTTACCTGATTTAAGAAGACAGTATTTATAAAGCCCTTGGCAGTGGAAGATAACATATGGTTATGACTTTTACTTATTATCATCTTTTCTACTGAGACCCTAGGCTAGGTGGGGAAGCCAAGGACCCACACTCCAACCACTTGTTTAGATTTGGATGTGGATCAAGATAGGCTAACGCTGGGCTGTGTGCGTAGATGGACAGGGTTCAGAATGTTGGGACCCCCTTCATGCCCACCTCAAATCGCATTTGTTGTATTATTTGGGAGTCACAGGCTAACTCCAGTGGCAAGAACAGTCCCCCCCCTGCCAATGTCCACTTCCCACATGGGTGACTCTGTCACTGTCCAGGGCCTCACTGCCTGCCCCACACCTTCACTTCAAACTTTGGCTTTAGGTATTATAATTAGGAGGTTGAAGACAGCTAACATGCATTGATCTTTTGGTAGTTGTACCAGCAAAGCATTTTACATATGTTATCTCAGTTAACCTTAATGCTCAGAGAAGTGGTCATCTCCCTTTTATGAAGAAGGGAACTGAGGCTCAGAGAAACGTAGCCTGACAGCAATGTCAAACATCAAGTGGCAGCATCTGAACCATTAACTGGGAGACCGTGGGGCTCCTGCTCTTAATATTTAAGCAGGAGTACTTTTCTCCGAAAATGCTTGGTATAAAACATTTTCAAGTCACAGGCCTGCTGGCATAGGAATTGCTATGGGGTACCACCTAACTCTCAGTCCGGTGGGGCATAGGAATGTGACCTGGGACATCCTCCCCACACCTCTGAGGAGAGTTGCTAGTCAGGGCGGGTTATTGCCTCCTGCAGGTGCTAATGAGGAGGGAAGTGGAAATGAAAGGGCAGCTGGAAATGGGCTGGGAGCTGCCTGTAGCTGAAGCTGAGAACTGGCCTTCTATAATACATACAGACAAGTTTTCCCAGAGAAATCCACATTCAGACCAAAGATCTGGGACAATTTAAAAAAAAAATGCTGTTTTGTGGTTTGCCCACGCTGCATCTAACAGTGATGATTTATTTATAAACAGGTTAACACTCATTGTTTTTGTTTTTTATTTAGCAAGCAATTATCAAACCTCTTTTATTTCTTTAAGTCCTTGTGATGATGCAGGGATGAAGACTGTGTTATTATTCTTATTGCAGACAAGGAAACCAACCTGAAAAATGTTAAAGATCACTTTTTTAACCCATCTGTATCTCACTTTTATAATTACAATAAAATAGAGAAAAAAAGATCACTTTTTTTTCTTGGTTCCAGTACTGGGGCTTGAACTCAGAACCTCAAGATCTCACTGAGCTTTTTTTACTCAAGGCTAAGCTCTATCACTTGAACCACACTTTGATCCTCAGATCTGAGCCTCTTTACCAACTAGGATTAGAGGCATGAGTCACAGGAGCCTAGATAAAAGATCTTTTTTTTTTTTTTTTTGTCGGTCG